GGGAGGGGGCATCCTTGTCGATTCAAGTTAGGGCGGCCACGAATGTCCCGAATCTGTTGGAAATATCAGAGTGCAGGGACCGCCAGGTGGGCACGGAGGCTCGGGCCTTGGCATCGCCCACGTCGTCTGTGCAGTGGACAGACAGGCACTGCAAATGGCTGCCGGGCTGGGCTGCGGAGGCCTTGTTCGCGGGGAGGTCGTGGGCTGTGGAGAAAGAAGGAAGAGAGGGGTTAGCAGCATGTTCAGCTCCGTAGGAGGCCCTGGGGGGGCGGGGAACGGGGGGGCACAGGCAGCGTGGGAGAGGCATGAGGACAGAGGCAGCATGCATGCCCTCCTGTCGTGCCTGAGGCATTCTGCAGAGATCTGGAGACGTCTGGTTAAAATGCCCCTGCTCTTGCCTCGGATATTTGGCTGTGAGGCCTCAGCCAGCAAAGTCCTCCTGCTGGGTCGCCATTGTACACCCTTGGGAAATAGGATGGTTGGAAAGGATCGACTGGGGGTTTGCTCATCTCTAATGAACTAGAGTTCCCAAAAGATTAGCTGGACCTGAACCAAGTTGGGAAGGTTTCCTAGAGGAGGGGCATCTAAGCTGGGCATTGGAGGATGTGTAGGAGTTCGTCAGATGCAGTGAAAGGGTGCTAGAGAAGACTGTCCAGGTCCAGACCACAGCCCATTCTCTCGTCATCTTCCAGAAAGACATTTGCTAAGGGTCTATTATGTGCTGGAACTTCCTTAACAAGAGGTGCCAAACTGCTCAGTGCAGTAAAGACTGAAAGTCTGGATTCCCCCAACCAGACCAATGCCCTTTGCCCATCCTCAACTGCCGTATAAAGGGACTTTGGGTGATAAGGGTGAGGGAGTCTATTCCTCACCCCTAAGCTACAGGAACGCTTAGCAAAAAAAATCCTTTCCATTTCCTTCTCACTCAGTCACACAGCGCCAGAAACATCACAGGTCCTAGTGATGTCTGGGTTAGACACACTGGAGGGAAAGGTTGACAACCATTCACACCTTAGTCTGAATTAGACTCAAAGAGCACAAGAACTGGGAGTTCTGAGGCAGGGAAGGAATAGAGCAGTCCTTATGGAGGACTGCTAACTTACTGCCCCCCCTCCCCCCAGTGACCAATGGTTCTATTCTGAGACATACTGTACATGGATGACTACTCTCATCATTCCCCTTTTATACAGCCTGAATCTCAGAGGAGAGGTGACCTTCCCAAGGTCACACCACCCCGAAGGTGAATTTCTGATTCAGCAGACATGAGAAAAGCTGGGATTGGGGGCCCGCGTGGGGCCAAGAGAGCACACCCAGATACTGAACTCCATAACCTACCCGCCCTCCTCAGCACACTGTGCAGGCCCAGCCAGGCCGGAGTCACCTCGCCCATCTCGCCTTCTGGGATTAAGAGTGAGGCCTCCCTCGGGAGCTGAGAAAATCCTCCCAGAAGGATGGGCCCAGGTAGCCAAGGCCAGGCTGTGACTAACCGGGTCTGGGGCCCCCACCCTGGAGCCCTAGAGACACCCAGTTTTGGGAGGAGCTGGGGCTGGAGAGGAAGTTCTCTCCTTGGCTCCTTCCCTCATCCATTCCATTCACAGGCCTTTGTGGCGTTCCGACCAGGGGCCAGGTGTGCGCTAGCCCTGCGGGTCCAGCAGGAAACGGGGCAGACACTGTCGTCAGCTCCCCCTGAGGAGCCGGCGTCATAGCACAGTCACTATGGAGTCACCGACTGGGGGCTAGAGCCCCAGTCCCACGTTCCCTGTCCCAGCCTCAGTGCCTGGTTGCTGAATGGGGGGTGACGTCATCGCCTGGTATGCAGAGAGATCCCCACACAGGGCTTCTGGGACCGTCATTCGTCTCTGGGGAAGGCCAGAAGGCCAGGGGTCCTTGCACCCGTCTAGAAGCCCCCAAGCCTCGGTCCCCTCCTTGGCAATGGCCAGATGGACACGCTCCTGTCCATGAGATTGGAGTCTTCGCCCCACTTCCCGGAAGGAGACGTTCAGGTTGTGAGCCTGGTGAGTGGCGGTCAGGCTGGGAGGCCGCGAACGCCAGAGCCAGGCTTCCTGGGGAGAAGGTAAGCCGGAAGTGAGTGGCCTCCGACTCAGGCTCCCCTGCACACAGTGAGCGAGCCCTGGGTTCTAGGGATGGGTGCCCACCGCCTTCACACTTCTGCCCTGGGGCCCACGCTGTCTATGCGCCCAGTGACTCCGCTGCCCAGCACCCCCAAGAGGAGTTCTGTTCCCAGCACTGCAAGATCTGGATTGGCAAGAGGGCTGGCATCTGCCAAAGAGAGC